TCACGAAATGGGTTCTTTATTTGTAAACCACGAAATTTTATATAGATATATCGTTATATTGATCATAGCTATTCTTCATCTAATATATTTGGTTACTTTATATTTGTGAATAATAACTAATAAGCCGATTTTTTATAACTGAAAAAGTAAGTATACTAATGTGATAACTCTAGAGAATTAATAAGCAAACAAATGGATTTGACTTATTGAATTTGATTTACGAGTGGATACATGAATGTGGCCTTGAATTTATATTGTGACTAGGAGGAGTACTCAGTGGCACTACTACGAGGAGTACTCAGTGGCACCTGCTCCCTCAAGGGCCCTCTCAATATCTCAAATCTCAAATCCCAAATCATTTTTTAAAACAAATGTTTACTTTCAAATCATTTTTTAAAACAAATGTTTACTTTCAACGATTTTTTTTTTTTCATCTAGAATATTATATTAAACTCCGAAAAAAAACATGACGAGTTACAAGATTTGATACAACATCACTACAATATAGCCAAAGGAAGACAAACTTCCCTGGAGACACATACATGACACTAGAAACTAACACGAAAGGAGAAAGGGTACTGATAAGAATAAAAGAATAATTCTCGAACCATGTTCAAAACACTGAACCATCAACACAAACCCACAAGCTTGACCATAAAACCTGTAAATGTCAAAACTGAGCCAACAAACATAAACAAGGAGCAGAACCTAAACCTTGAGACACACCCAGAGAGCTGGAAGATCAGAACGCGGACGGTAACGAAAACAGAGCAAAGAACCAACATTAAATTGATCAGACCAGGAGAAAACGGGATCTTGAGAAGGCAATGGCGCACGGCAAAGATACCTAGATCTCCAAGCCAAAACAAAGGATCAAGCCAACCTCAAAATCCTCACATCAGCATAGACAACTAAAAAGCCTAGGGACAAGAACTAATACATTTACCTAATCATAAGAGCCTAACTCAGCCAAAAGTACAACCAAGGCATAGGACAATGAGTGCACAAACCGGGTAAGCGATAAAGCAAGGCAAGGATCGAACAAGACCAAACCACAAGCGGAAAAGGCAGGACCTGAGAGCCAAAGGCGAGCGATCGCGAAGCCAAAGAAACCGAAACAACCGACCACCTCGCATCTTCGACTCAAACCAGAGAGACTCCTCACACCATCTGAGAACCAGTCACATTAGAAACCGAGCCACACCACATCAACCCACATGAGTTGAAACAAACCCAAGACCCAAAACCTCTTATTGATCTGAAAGAACCAAGCCAAAGACAGGAAAGCAGCTAATATAAAACATGGATCCGGCACCGGCGCTATGAAAGCCACCGGCTGCCGGATCAAACCCATAAATCTCGATTTTGTTACTGTTCACAGGCGGCGCCTCTAGAGAGAGAACTAGGTCTTTTTGCATGTTTAATTTCAACGATTCAAATTTTGTTTTATATGTAAAGATATTAAAATATATCAGCCATGCAACCCAAAATAACTCACTTTTCTATTTCAAATTAAAAATTATGAGGACCAACAAAAGTGGATTATTTATGATCACCGTGCATTCGCGCGAATTTTTGAAAATAAAATTTATCAATCATAGGTGGTTTCCATATGTCTTCACAATGTTTCTTTCTATTCTCTTATATTTCGCACTTCACAATATCTTTAGTATTGTGGCATATGGAAGATATTGAACAACG